ATTACTCCAAAACACATCTGCAGCACAGGCCTGACTTTAAGCAGATAAGCTGCATCAAAAGTGAGTATAAGTGTGTTTTCAAACTACATGTAAATGAGTGTAAAATAAGTATAAATTGACATAAAAGCATCAAAATAATCATTCCTATATCAAAGACTCATCTGTATTCCTTGGCATTTCATCCACGCAGAGTCTGATAACAAGTTGAGCTGATTTTATTGTTGTTGTGCGTTGTTTTTACTGTCAACTTATGTTTTTGAGTGGCACTAGATGCATTTTTAGCCCCTCCCTGGGCTGCCACCTTACCGTGGTGGAGGGGTTTGAGTGTCCCAATGATCCTAGGAGCTATGCTGTCAGGGGCTTTATGCCCCTAGTAGGGTCACCCATGGCAGACAGGTCCTAGGTGAGGGACCAGACAAAGTGCAGCCCAAACACACCCCTATGATGAAAAACACAAATGGACCTAGTGTTCCCTTGCCCGGACGTGGGTCACCGGGGCCCCACTCTGGAGCCAGGCCTGGAGGTGGGGCACGTGGGCGAGCGCCTGGTGGCCGGGCTTTTACCCATGGAGCTCGGCCGGGCACAGCCCGAAGAGGAGACGTGGGTCCCCCTTCCCATGGGCTCACCACCTGTGGGAGGGGCCAAAGGGGTCGGGTGCAATGTGGGATGGGTGGTGGCCGAGGGCGGGGACCCTGGCGGTCTGATCCTCGGCTACAGAAGCTGGCTATTGGGACGTGGAATGTCACCTCACTGGTGGGGAAGGAGCCTGAGCTGGTGTGTGAGGCTGAGAGGTTCCGGCTAGAAATAGTCGGACTCACCTCTACGCATGGCTCGGGCTCTGGAACCAGTTTCCTTGAGAGGGGCTGGACACTCTTCCACTCTGGAGTTGCCCCTGGTGAGAGGCGCCGAGCAGGCGTGGGCGTACTAATTGCCCCCCAACTTGGTGCCTGTGTATTGGGGTTCACCCCCGTGAATGAGAGGGTGGCCTCTCTCCGCCTACGTGTGGGGGGACGGGTTCTGACTGTCGTTTGTGCTTATGCACCAAACGGCAGTTCAGATTATCCACCCTTTCTGGAGTCCTTAGAGGGGGTACTGGAAAGTGCACCTTCTGGGGACTCCCTTGTTCTGCTGGGGGACTTCAATGCTCATGTGGGCAATGACAGTGAGACCTGGAGGGGTGTGGTTGGGAGGAACGGCCCCCCTGATCTGAACCAGAGTGGTGTTCTGTTGTTGGACTTCTGTGCTCGTCATGGATTGTCAATAACGAACACCTTGTTCAAGCATAAGGGTGTCCATATGTGCTCTTGGCACCAGGACACCCTAGGCCGCAGTTCGATGATCGACTTTGTCATCGTCTCATCTGATCTGCGGCCACATGTCTTGGACACTCGGGTGAAGAGAGGGGCGGAGCTGTCAACTGATCACTACCTGGTGGTGAGTTGGCTCCGATGGTGGGGGAGGATGCCGGTCAGACCTGGTAGGCCCAAACGTATTGTGAGGGTTTGCTGGGAACGTCTGGCAGAGTCTCCTATGAGACGGAGTTTCAACTCCCACCTCTGGGAGAACTTTGAACATGTTCCAAGGGAGGTGGGGGACATTGAGTCTGAGTGGACCATGTTTCGTGCCTCTATTGTCGAGGCGGCTTACCAGAGCTGCGGCCGCAAGGTTGTCGGTGCCTGTCGGGGCGGCAACCCTCGAACCCGATGGTGGACACCGTCGGTGAGGGATGCCGTCAGGCTGAAGAAGGAGTCCTATCAGGCCTTTTTGGCCTGTGGGACCCTGGAAGCAGCTGATGGGTACCGGCAGTCCAAGCGACATGCGGCTCGGGTGGTTGTTGAGGCAAAAACTCGGGCATGGGAGGAGTTCGGAGAGGCCATGGAGAACGACTTCCGCACGGCTTCGAGACGTTTCTGGTCCACCATCCGGCGTCTCGGGGGGGGGAAGCGGTATGCCACCAACACTGTTTATAGTGGGGGTGGTTTGCTGCTGACCTCAACTCGGGATGTTGTGGGTCGGTGGGCAGAATACTTTGAAGACCTCCTCAATCCCACCGGCACGTCTTCCACTGAGGAAGCGGAGCCTGGGGACTCTGGGTCGGGCCCTCCAATCTCTGGTGCTGAGGTCACCGAGGTGGTTAAAAAGCTCCTCGGTGGCAGGGCCCCAGGGGTGGATGAGATCCGCCCAGAGTTCCTTAAGGCTCTGGATGTTGTAGGGTTGTGTTGGCTTACGCGACTCTGCAATGTTGCGTGGACATCGGGGGAAGTTCCCCTGGATTGGCAGACCGGGGTGGTGGTCCCCCTATTCAAAAAGGGGGACCGTAGAGTGTGTTCCAACTACAGGGGAATCACGCTCTTAAGCCTCCCTGGTAAGGTCTATTCGGGGGTTCTGGAGAGGAGGGTCCGTCGGATAGTCGAACCTCGGATTCAGGAGGAACAGTGCGGTTTTCGTCCTGGCCGTGGAACACTGGACCAGCTCTACACTCTCAGCAGGGTCCTGGAGGGTGCGTGGGAGTTTGCCCAACCAGTCTACATGTGCTTTGTGGACTTGGAGAAGGCTTTCGACCGCGTCCCTCGGAGGGCCCTGTGGGGGGTACTCTGGGAGTATGGGGTACCAGGCCCTTTGATACGGGCTGTTAGGTCCCTGTATGACCGGTGTCAGAGCCTGGTCCGCATCGCCGGCAGTAAGTCGGGCTTGTTCCCGGTGAGAGTTGGACTCCGCCAAGGTTGCCCTTTGTCACCGATTCTGTTCATAACTTTTATGGACAGAATTTCTAGGCGCAGCCAAGGTGTTGAGGGGATCCGTTTTGGTGGCCTCAGAATTGCGTCTCTGCTTTTTGCAGATGATGTGGTCTTATTGGCTTCATCAGATCGTGATCTACAGCTTTCGCTGGAGCGGTTCGCAGCCGAATGCGATGCGGCCGGGATGAAGATCAGTTCCTCCAAATCCGAGGCCATGGTCTTGAGCCGGAAAAGGGTAGAGTGCCCTCTCTGGGTCAGGGAGGAGGTCCTACCCCAAGTGGAGGAGTTCAAGTATCTTGGGGTCTTGTTCACGAATGAGGGAAAAATGGAGCGTGAGATCGATAGGCGGATAGGTGCAGCGTCTGCAGTGAAGCGGGCGCTGTACAGGTCTGTCGTGGTGAAGAGAGAGCTGAGTCAAAAGGCGAAGCTCTCAATTTACCGATCGATCTACGTTCCCACCCTCATCTATGGTCACGAGCTTTGGGTTGTGACCGAAAGAATGAGATCTCGGATACAAGCGGCCGAAAAGAGTTTTCTCCGCAGGGTGTCTGGGCTCTCCCTTAGAGACAGGGTGAGAAGCTCGATCATCCGGGAGGGACTCGGAGTAGAGCCGCTGCTTCTCCACATTGAGAGGAGCCAGTTGAGGTGGCTTGGGCATCTGTTTAGGATGCCTTCTGGACGCCTCCCTGGTGAGGTGTTCCGGACACGTCCCACCGGAAGGAGGCCCAGGGGAAGACCCAGGACACGCTGGAGGGACTACGTTTCTCGGCTGGCCTGGGAACGCCTCGGGATTCCCCCGGAAGAGCTGGCCCAAGTGGCTGGGGAGAGGGAAGTCTGGGCCTCCCTACTTAGGCTGCTACCCCCGCGACCCGACCCCGGATAAGCGGAAGAAAATGGATGGATGGATGGATAGATGCATTTTTACTCTTTTTTTAATTTTTAATCTGTCTTAACTGTAAAGCACTTTGGTCAACTTTTGTTGTTTTTATGTGCTATAGAAATAAATTTACATTGACATTGACATTGATACACTGAGGTGGCTTGGACATGTCCAGAGGAGGGACAGTGGTTTGGACATGTCCAGAGGAGGGACAGTGGGTATACTGGTATAAGGATGTTAGAAATGCAACTGCCAGGAAAAAGACAGAAGAGATATATGGATGCAGTTGGAGAGGACATGGAGGTAGTTGGAGTGAAGACAGAGGATACAGAGGACAGAGTGAGATGGAGGAGGACTCGCTGTGGAGACCCCTGAAGAGGGAAAATCCGAAAGAAGAAGAAGAAGAAGCTATGATGGCCATCTTGAATTGGTTTGACTGTAAATATTAGTTAGTTATAGATGTGCACCTAATGATTGTTTTCTGAGAGTTTCATTAAAACTTTTACAGCATTTCACAAGATCATTTGCTAAAATGCACACAAACAAACACAGAGATACAGGGAATTACATGATCACCTGCCTTTTATGGCCACAAGCAGCTGTGGCTGAGTGGTTAGAGCAGTCATCCTCCAATGGGAGAGTTGGGGGTTTGATTCCACCAGCAGTCACATGCTGAAGTGTCCCTGGGCAAGACACTGAACCCCCCATTGCCTCTGATGTGTGTCCCATCAGTGTATGAATGTGATGAAGCTCTGATTAGTCTCTTGAGAATAATTTGTTCAATTAGCTTTTGTAGAGATCTAGTATAGAGCTGTATGAATGGGTCAATGAGGCACAGATTGTTGTAAAGAGCTTTGAGTATCTTGAAATAAGATAGAAAGGTGCTATACTATGTCCTAAATGCCGAAAAAACCAAAGGGATGCTTTTTACAAACAGGAAGTCGGTCCCAGCAGTTCTTCCTCTGATTTTATCCTCAAATGGTGTCCATATTGAGTTTGTTGATTCCTATAAATATTTGAGTATCTTGGTCGATGCACATCTCTCTTTTAAGCTCCATGTGGAAAACTTGGTGAAGAAACTGAAAGTTAAACTGGGTTTCTTTTTCAGAAACAGATCCTGTCTAACTCTGAATGTTAGGAAACAACTTGTATCTGTGACTTTCCTTCCCTCAATTGATTATGGTGACATTATTTACATGAACGCTCCTACAAGAACCCTGCAGATGTTGGATGCTGTCTATCATGGTGCACTAAGATTCATAACTGGCTGTGATTATTGTACCCACCACTGCACCCAGTATTCACTGGTTAACTGGTCACCATTAACTTCACACAGACTCTCTCACTGGTACATTTCCATCTTTAAATCACTTCTTGGTCTGCTGCCTTCATACATCTCCTCCTACATGTCTCTGTGTGAGTGCAGCTACAGCGTGCGCTCTCAGGACATTATTACCTGCAGTGTTCCCTCAGTGAGGACTGAACTAGACAAAAGGACCTTCTCCTACTCCGCTCCTGTTTCCTGGAATATCTTACAAAAAGATCTGAAGCTCTCGACCTTGACCTCTCTAAGTGGCTTTAAGAATATGTTGGACTCCTGGCAGGGACCAGTGCTGACATGTTCCTGTTTTTAGTTTTCTACATTTGCCTTAGAATCTAGCTGTTTTTGTTACTTTTTTCCCATCTTATTTGTAAAAAAAAAAAAAAAAATCTGTATGCCTTTTTATAACTGTCCATTGTTGTTGCTGTTGTCCATTGTTGTCATCATTTTTCGTTGAAATCAGGTCTCTCTTGTAAATGAGTCCTCGAGGCTCATTGGGATTTACCTGTCTAAATAAAGGTTACAAAGTACAATCCATTTACCATTTACATGTGCCAGGCTGTAATCACACACACTCATCATCTGTTACTCCCAATATCCCTCCTTAAACAAACAATTTAAATTTAAATAGTGTAACATTTTAAATAATGGATTGGTTATTTAAAATGTTACACTGTTTAAGTTTAAATTGTAGAGAAGAGAAGTGCAGCAGGACATCACAGGATGTCACGCAGCTTCAGCTCTGCAGCACAGAGCACAAATGCACTTCTTGATCAATGACACTGAAACAACTGAACATAGAAGTTCTAAAATAATTAAAAATAACTTTTAACACTTTTATATTTTGTGATTATGACGAGTTTATGATGTGACATACTTTGAATTTTAAGTTGGAACACTGAAATGTATTGAGTTCAATGTGTTTGTTTAATGATCAATTATGATAATGTCTAAGTGCAGAAAAAGGCCATTAATTTAAATTTATTCACTCAACATTTCATCCAGCCTATATTTAAGCATTGCATACACAGAAGTATGAAGACAACAGAATATAAACATGAACCATAAACATCTTCAGAGGAAGATTGAAAGATTACAGATTCTCCGTAGTGGTGAAATAAACAGTATATTTATCGTTTTGTTCTTTACAGGTAAACCCACCCTACTACGTCAAACTGGTCGAGCTGGTACCTCACCCAAAAACCGCAGCCACCGTTATGGACCACACCTTTACTCTCATGACCAAGGTAAAGATGTCAAATGACTCAAGCCTCGTTTATGTCAGAACATGCTAGAGTGATTAAACAATGCCAACATAATAACTTATGACACTGAATACAAAAACTCAGAAAATTCCTATTAATTTTACCAATAATAACATTTATAAAGTCCTAATATTTGCAGTCACATATTGTGACCGCATTATGTTATTGTGTGTGTTCAAAGTTCATACTGTGAAATCATAACTTTTTGTGTTGTGTACGATGATGAGTAGATAAACTAAACTAATAAATAAATTGGCTCTGGAAAACCTTTTGTAATTTCTCAGGTTGTGAGAAGTTAAAAAAATAAACTATTTCAGTAGTTTTGTCTTTTATAGCTTTAGCATTCTTGGAGTGACTTATTTGCTTGACTGGTTATTTGTCATGTTTCAGGTTGGCCAGGCACCCATCCGTCTGAGAAGAGAGATTGATGGCTTCGCCCTTAACAGAGTCCAGGCTGCCATTATTGCAGAGTCCTGGAGGCTGGTCCAGGTCAGTGTCAACACAAGGTCTGGGGTTGAGGTTTTTACAGAGGACACTTATGCACCTTTCTTATCACATCCATATACATATATATATATATATATATATATATATATATATAT